TTTAAGTGGAGATGTTTATGATTTACCTGGATCAGACCTGCCTGCCCTGCATGCATCAGATTGTGGAGATGTTGTCTTGATATATAGTAGCACTTCGCTTTCTTTAATGTTTGGGCCCTAATCGGGGATTTCTTTGCTCTGGGTTTCACCCTAATTTGTTATGGTATAACATGTTTAATTGGGTACGCTACAATATGGTTGATGAGATGGCTTGATTGACATTTGGAATTGCGTACTTTGAGTTGCTGTCTTCACCTACATCTGCTTGTTCTGTTTCTTGTTTTCCTATAATTAGTATATCTGGGTTTTATTTGTATTTGTAATCCCTTTGAGTAGTATTTGTTTTTGTTTCCGAGAATATTTGATACACCGACGATAAAAAAATGGATAAACTATTTCAATGATCACTAATGTTTGGATAAGTTTTCGTTTTCACCACTGATGTCTCAAAAGTCATAAATCGGTCACTAACGTTATCGTTTGTTACAAATTGGTCACTCGCCGTTAACAGGCGTGATGAAAAACACACGTGGACTGTTAACAGGCTTATCTGGATGGTATAATTACACAAATAGTCCATGTTATTTATACATTCTTTCAATTTGATCCTAGTTTTAATAAATTAAAATATATTTATTTTTAATTCTTATAAATAATGATACATTTTTACACAAAATAATTAAATGTTTAAATCCAACGGCTTTAAAAAAATGAAATCAAACTTTAAAACGGGTACTTATTTAAGGGGTGTTAAATATGATTTTTTAAGTTTTTAATACAAAATTTATAGAGGTTTTATAAAAAAATAAATTGAGATGTTGAAGGTGTTTTGATCACGAGTTTTCTCTATTTATTCGTTTAATATTTGAGGTAAAGATTAATCTTATCAAATAAGATAAAATATTCGGAGAAAATATTTATCATTAATTTATGTTTGTTATTAAAAGCAAGAAATCATGCATAGAGGTGCAGTATTTTGTTTGTGTATATATATTTTCTATTCCTCGTTGCATACTGATTTTTCAAACAAATTTGCCTCTTTTCTATCTATATAATCTGCCTCTTGCCAAGCTTAATATGAATCAACTAAAACAAAAAGAAATGGGGGTAGACATACAGACCAAGCTCTGCCTAGCTCTTGGGTCAATGAAGGACCATGCATCCATCGGCAAGGCCATGATATACAACCACGACGGCAAAGCCTTTTCCGATATGGACATCGCCATCCTCTGAGCCACCGGCTACAATAACGGTCCGATATAAGACAAATACATGTAGAAATCCTCTTCCCCGTCTTGAATTCTCCGGGATCGATCCCTTTTCTAGCTGAAAGGATTTCATGTTGGCTCTGCAAGACCCGAGACCACCTCGTCACCCTCAAACTCTTTCCCTCATCCACCGTCTCTTGAGCGGCGACAACCGCTCATATCATGCCTCAAAAATTATTAAAATGCAACATCTTAATCATATTTAAAACAAATAAATTGTTATATTGAATAATTATATATTCTTTATTATACTTAAAATCTAATCGAAACAGGTATGATTATGTTTTAACTTGAGATCATCTTCAACAAATGAAATATAAATTAAATAAAAATAATAATGTCAAAAATTATTTAAAAAACATGATAAATATAATAATTTACGATAGCAATTAAAATCATTGATCGTTAAGAATAATATTAATAAAATTGTCGGAAGATGTTGATGATTTTGTTTCATGTTTTAATAATGTTTAGATTGAATTTTCTAATAATTTTTAGAGAGGACTGTAAGAAAATAGAAGTGTAAAACCTAAAACGAAAATTTTCATAAATTATCATTTAAAATGAAACAGTGAGTTTAAGTCGTATTGTAAAACTTGAAAGATTATAATTTTAAACGTTTTTTAACACACACACACACACACAACACACACACACATGCACATATATATATATATATATATATTGAAATCTATGGCACTGGGCAGACAATGAGTCAAATGTGTTTTATCATTATTTTTGTCTTGAAAAAAATCGTTTTAACTTTTGATTTTAATTTTTTTTGTTTTTATAACTAATTTTAAATTGTTGATTTCCTTTCTTTTAAAGTCGTTGGGATTAATCATTTAATAGTTTTGTATAAAAATATATCATTATTTATAAGAATTAAAAATAAATATATTTTAATTTATTAAAATTAGGATCAAATTGAAAAAATATATAAATAACATGGACTATTTGTGTAATTATACCATCTAGGTAAGCCTGTTAACAGCTGTTAACAGTCCACTTGTGTTTTTCGTCACGCCTGTTAACGGCGAGTGACCAATTTGTAACAAATGATAACGTTAGTGATCAATATATTACTTTAGAAACATCAGTGGTGAAAATGAAAAGTTACCCAAACATTAGTGACCATTGGAATAATTTACCCTAAAAAAAATTAATTTTATCGAATCTCGACGTTTGCTAGCAAATTGGTTGGGGGTGGTCATCTTATGGAGTATCTAATCTTGATTAGTCGGTTAATAGATCGGATATCAATGATTAGTTAAACAAAATAATTAATTCTATGAATAATGTTTAAATATTACCACATGTCCTGAACATGAAACCCTAAACTTAAATATTAATCTCTAAATTTTAATCATTAAATTATAAACTCTAAATACTACTCTATTGATCACCAAGTTTTTAAAATGTTTTATTTTGGCCACCAATTATATTATAGTCATTAACTTTTAGTTCACTTTCATTATAATCGCTATTATTAAAGGTGTTGTGACATGTTAAACCCTTAAGAAATCTCTAAGCTTCTTTCAAATTGATAGTCATTGTTCCTCCTTTCACTGTCATTTGTATTGTTGTTTGGTGATTTCTTCGATAAAAAGATTATCAAATTACTATTTTTCTTTTTTTTATCTTTCTTTCGTTCGATTCAAACTCGTTGAAAAAAACTTTTAATCTCTCCCATTCTCAACCAAAACTTAAAGAAAGAATTTTGATCTACCACCATCAACTTTGAATCAACTTGAAATTGAACCATATTAATCTTATGATAAAAAAAAATTCCACATTTGAGATTTCTGATGATTATTATATTCATCGAAAACTCGACAACACTATGATCGATAATTTTTATGTTCCCTTCTTTTTTATTTACTTTTTTTTACTATTGTTGATCGTCTATTGTTATTAACGGTTGTGGATGATGATCAAGAAAACATCAACAAAAATGACAACAAACGAAAAGTAAAGGTTTTCAATTTAAAAAAAAAGTTTGTTTTTTCTTATTATTTAATATGTGTTATTAAATTTTTAACGACATCTAATGGTAATTATTGCAATAAAAAAAATAAAAGTTTAATATTTATATTGCAAATTTTAAAAGTTTGATGATTAAATAAAAACGACCAAACAAATTTAATGATATCAACCTGATTTATCGTAAAATGTATAGGAATGACCTAACAAAGTATAATTCTGAACAAAAAAATAATTTAAATGTTAAAAGTAAAGAATTGATTGTCTATCGAAGGAAAAAAGTCGGGAATTGGGATGGGAAGTGGTGGCGGGGCATGAACAATAAAGAAAAAATAAACGGGATATCGTTTTCTAGAATTAGATATGAATGGACCCCAAAACCAGATGGATTACAAAGCAAGTCGAGAACTACACGGACCATACATTGGGTGTGACGGGGGGAATATAAATGAATATAGCATTATCAATTAATTTAATGAAATAAATATTAAGCCTTCTAAATGAAGTTAATTGATTCTTTTATTTTATAAATAAAATTAAAAACATTTATAATATTTTTATAATATTAGCTTAATTTAATCAATAATGAACTAAATATTAATATTTAAAAAGTAAAAAAAATAATCTATAACTAAATTCAACCAAACCAAACCAATCTATAATTAAAATATATATATTTTTGAAATGCATATTTTAAAGTTGGATGAAAATAGTTATATATAATAAAAAAATTTAATGTGACGATAAAAGAATTAAAGCTCCAACCTTTAAATATCACATATGAAAAGTCATGTCCATTACTATTTAATAGTAATGAACTATATCTTAATCCAAATAAAAAGGTATTGAAATAAGTTTAGAGTATAATTTGAAGAGCTCAAATAATACTTTATTCTTCCCCTCTTTTCCTTTAATCATTTTGCAGCCACAACTCTTTCCACCTGTTTTTTCATAGACATTTTATTAGTAACCAAATTATTTAAAATCATTACTATACCTGCAAAGATATTTTTCAAATAAAGAGTATTTCATAAAAGTTTTATTCACTCTCTTATATTGCAATGTTTTACGGTACTTCATTTTTATAATCAAATAAATACTTTACATATCAAAATATGCATAAACAATCAAGTAAGATATGAAATGGTATCAACAACCAGTTAATCTAATGAGAAGAGACACTAGATCCTCTAATCCTCTAAGAAATGTTAGAGGTTTGAATTCAGTCGATTGCAAATGGAACAAACAAAGTTAGGAGGATAACCTTGCCTATGTAATACCCGCGATTCGTATTAGCTGATTAATAGATCGTATACCGATGATTATATAAAAAGATAGTATACCCTAATTTAATTCATATAATTATTATTCAATAATATTTATCGATTTTAAAATTCTATTCTCAAACTAATATTTATCTTATTTACAAATTGTTTCTTAATAAGATCAAATAAGTTCAAACGTGACTAATATATTAACGATTAGTTTTTATTATATAGACAATATAAAATTATTTTACATAATAGATATATTTTAACTATAAACCTTAACGTCTAAAATATTAACATTTAAAAAAAATCAATTTGAGATTTGTCCTAAAATTAAGAGAAAAAAAAAGGAAATTGTAATATTTGTATGATTAGAAAGAAAAAAGAAAAGAGAAGAATTAGTGTAGCGGATCTCGTTGTTTTGACGCTATATCTGGGTGTCTCTGGCATAGCTCAGCTTTGCCTTTGTTCATTCAGTCGTTACAGAGAAAACTTAACCAAAGAAGGAAAGGAAAGGAATCGAGAGGAAGGAGAAGATGTCGTGGCAAACGTATGTAGACGAGCACTTGATGTGTGAAATCGAAGGCAACACTCTCTCTGCCGCCGCCATCATCGGCCAAGACGGCAGCGTTTGGGCCCAGAGGTCCAATTTCCCTATGGTCCTTTTCTTCTTCTTTCAAATTCTTCCCCTTTACTCCAAAATAGTGGAGTAAAGAGATCTGATTGTTATGGTTGAATTCTCTTCTGCTTGATGTATTAGCTGATCTAATTTGCTCCGTAAGGATTGCATTTGTTCACTCCTTTCTGAAACCAAAACTCGTGTCTTTTTCCTCTTCTTCAAAGTTCCAACTTCTTTTTTTGGCCATGGTTTATTAGTTTATGTTCTTTGCCGCATTGAAAGATTTGCCTTTTTCACGCCTGAAAATCTGAATATTCCTTATAATTTCTGGGTTTGTTTCTATTTGTTAGTTTTGTAATAATTAATCATCATTTTAATAAAATGAAATAAGCTTTGCTACTGGATCTCTGCAAATGACCATGAATATGATATCAGATATGATGATAAAGGTAGTAAGGGAGGGAAATATTTCCTGCAAATCCCGTTTATTTGATTGTAAAGGTTGTTCTTTTATTTATTAAACAACGAAGGGTTATGCTTCAGCTTTTTTCTCTTTTCTGATTAACATATTCTCAACTTTTCCTGGTTCTACGTTGATTCAGTTCAAGCCAGAAGAAATCACTGCCATCATGAATGACTTTGCTGAACCAGGATCACTTGCCCCGACCGGATTGTACCTTGGTGGCACAAAATACATGGTGATCCAAGGTGAACCTGGAGCTGTCATTCGAGGGAAAAAGGTGATGTTGTACATTTCTTCCAAGTTATATTTTGTTTATAACACTGAAAAATCTCATGCCCACATGCATTTTTTACAGTGTGTTCAATGCAAAGAGATTAATCAATTATACATTTTTTTCCTAATGTATGGTGTGCATTCTGAGCCTTTTGTCATTTTAATTTCAGGGGCCTGGAGGTGTTACTGTTAAAAAGACCAACCTAGCCTTGATCATCGGGATCTATGATGAGCCAATGACTCCGGCCCAGTGCAACATGATTGTTGAAAGGCTCGGTGATTTTCTCATTGACGAGGGTCTTTAATTTATTTGTTGTGCCTTAATGGTTGCATTTCTTCTTGGCTTCCTTTTCTATACGAAAATGCATCTGCCACCTCTTGTAGTAATGGTTTGACTCAGCTAAAATAACAGTATTTACTAGAGTATTGAAAGTCACGAGGAACCTTTTTTCCAGAAACAATCGGCTTGATGTTTAGTGATATGCTTGTGATCCCCTTGCTTTGTTTCTGTACTTGTTTGTGGATGGTTTTGTCAAGATTGTGAAGTGAGGTACTTTTGTCTACATTTAAAATGAATTTTCTACTGGATTGGGTAAATTAAATCGCCAAGTACTTTTGTCTAATATTATGTTTTCTGCTTTTAATCCGACCGGAAGACCTTAACATCAATATTGTTCACACTCTTTATATTTCTTGAACTACCATTAATAAAACAGGATACAGCGAGGAGAATGCTTGTTTTTTTTTTGGGTGGGGGGGGGGGGTTGGAGGGGTACATTCTCATTATTCAGTGTAAACTTAGAGGCGACCTTCTCAACATTCTTTCAAATGATGCACCTAGCACACAACATAACTTCAAACAGAAAGGAACTAAAAACGATTGGAAAGAAACTACAAATCCCGTGCACACACCTGGTCGTATTACCTGCTTCAGTTTTGCTATTCTTGCATGATAAGCACAAGAATTACCTTAGTAACATTAGCTTAGCTCATGCGGTCACCCATAAAACAAGGGTATAGTACATGAGAAATTTCAGAATTTGTACTTACAATGATAGATGCAATTACCATAGCCTGCACAAATAAATTGAATATACAAGTATTTCCAGGCAAGCAATATCACAACATTGGAGCTTTTTATACTTCAAAAAACTTGCCCAAGCTTAAAGATGAACTAAATAAAAGATAATTGAATAATTACAGGCGAGTTGATCTGAAACAGTATAGACTTAGTGGGGTCCTGACCAACTTTGATTGCATTTCCTCGGAAACTGCAGGAAGCATCAGTAGCTCCATTTTTCTGATAGTAATTGTTGAATGCGAAAGAGGCATGAGAAAGTAGAGTATTTGGCTCAAAACATTGCTGGTTAGGCTGAATTGATGAACAATCAGCTTTTCCAGGACCAGAAGCCCAATCTAATGCATTCTGTAAGTCCGTTCGAGACGCCTTCTTAGAAGCAATGCACCAAGTTCTTCCATTCGGATCGCTGCTTTTTACTGCCAAAAAAAAATCCCAGTTTCTCTAATGAAATCAGATATAAGAGTAGATATTGTTATGGTATATGAGATGTTTCAGAGCCTCTACTTACCGTTATAGTTGCAATTACCATGGCCTGCACGAATAATGCAAAAAGAAAACGTAATGGGAAAGTTATTAGACCTGAAAAATCATGCAAAGTCGTAATAATCAGATTCTGCATAAAGTAATTGACTTACTAGGGTCACTATAAACTTTGATCCCAGTTCCTCCAAAAATACATGCTTCGTCAGTGAGCCCATTCTTCTGCTAGTAATTGTTGAATGCATAAGAGGCATGAGAAAGTAGATCATCTGGTTCAAAACATTGCTGGCCACGCTGAAGGGCGGAACAAAGCTTTTTCCGGGCCTCAAGCTCAATCCAATTCATTCTGCAAAGCCGATTTGGAAGCCTCACTAGAAGCCACACACCAGCTTCTTCCATTTGAATTGGTTTCTGTTCCGGAGAAGTTCAGGTGACATACGGCGGACATGTCAGGATAAAATATGCCCCAGTTTCCCTCTATTTCAGCTCCGGTCTTGTTGTTCTCATTAAACAATGAAAATATATATACGTCTAGCTCTCTCCCAGGCATGGCAGGTGTATCCAGGACATAACCAACTCCACTGTGCATGGCAGGTGTACCAAGTCCTGGGTAACATGGCGAATTAAGTTGGTGATATAAGTCTGGGCATTTTCAATACTAGCATACTTATCTCCTCTTGAACGTAGGCCAACCGGTTTTTGTAACGATAATCGATTTTCTACATCGGGCCAAGGAAGAACGAACAACATTTCGATTGGCGATGGCAAAATAAACAGCATCAAGCTGAAACCTTGATCATGAAAGGTGACTGGTTTTCATCCAGGAATTCCAACAAAGGATTCAAAACATATGCAAGACTGCTTCTAAAAGCCCCTTCAGAAGGTGGGAATGATTTGGACAAAACCCCAAAGGAGAGTGGAGTTGAAACCTTGATCCTATCTTGCAGTCCCACCTTTCTCAAAGCTGAAACAACGTGGCGGCCATCACCAAGTTGGCGGCATTATCTGAGCTTTCGGTTACTTCATTACCTACAGTAATGTGGGTGATCTTCGTGGGCTGGTAGAATGGGAGGATGCTCTTTGAGAGCCAGGAATCTACGTATGACTGGCACTGGAACGCTGGTAAGTCAGAATATGAACTCCCACCATAAATTCAACGCAGGTGTTTTTAAAGGCGTTCAACACTAGGGGATTCGAATCATATATCCTGAGGGATTGAACGTTGTGCTTTCCAACCAGTTTGTGCTACTCTGTCAGGTGATGGAAGATCATCACCATCCCTTCCATACGCTACTCCTGCTTTGTTTCCCCTACGCAAATCTGAAACAAATGGTTGTGCGAGAGCGGAACAAACATAATGAAAGACAAAGGAAGACGGAGAGAAATACCTAAAAGCTGAAGCAACAAAGAAAATGCAAACAAAAGCTTCAAACATCTCGAACCCATTGTTAACAAATTCTTAATAATTAATGAGAAATAATAGGGTTCCAAGCTGCCTCTTATAGAGAAAAGAACAGGCTATTGTGCTACTACCATTAAAGTTGGTTCACACAGCACCCCCACTTCATTTTATCTTCCGTTTTAGAAAAATCTATTTCATTAGAGATATAGTTGGGATTCAGGGTCTACTTGATTACATAATAAAATATTTTAAACTCTATTCACCATAATCAACGTATCATGACCATCAAAATCATGTATTTTCAAATTTTCAAAGTACGTTTGAGAACAAATTTTTGGGTAAAGTACATAAATGGTCCTCCAACTATAAGACACTGCTTTGTTAAGTCCCTCAACTATTTAAAGTTACAAAATGACCCTCCAACTATAAGATGTTATTTTCATGAGTCCATCGACTATTAAAAATTACAAAATGGTCGCTCGACTATTCATATGTTTCAAACTCGTCCTTTTCCATTTAAAAAATTGACGATTGTCTAAGCTAGACGGTAACCTGTTGCCTAGGATATAATAAAATCTTAACCAAAAATCGTTTGAGTTGTATTTGTGGATCGAGTTTTTGTTTACATTATGTCATCGAGTCAATGCTTGAAAGCTTATGGCATCGAGCCAGTGCTTGAAAGCAACGACGATGCCTATTGACATCATCAAAATATGATTTATCATATCTCATTCAGCATGTTAACGTCCAGCTTAGACGACTTTCAATTTTTTAACGGAAAATTATGAGTTTGGAATATATGAATAATTGAATGATCATTTTATAATTTTTAATAGTCAGAGTACTCAACAAAGTAACACCCTATAGATAAGATTATTTTATAACTTTTAATAATCAAGAGACTCAACAAAGTAGTGTCATGTAGTCGGGAGATCATTGACATACTTTAAGCTAAAAAATTTTTATGTAACATTCCATAATTTTGATTTGATTTCAGATTTTAAAGATGATAGTAATAGAATTTTTCTTAACATAAATAAATAAAAATAGACAAAAAAATATTCCTGATTTTCACCAATTTCAATATTTTTTTTTCAAAATTGAATCAATTATATTAGTTCATATTTTAATATAAGTATTACTAGAATGATAAAGTCATTATATATTCACGGGAAAGACTCCAGCCTAAACCCTAATAATCCCATACCTTAATGTTTATAAATAAAGTTTAGTAAAAAGGAGTTCCGCTATATTAAAAGTTTTTTTAGTAGACGGATTTAGGGTTTGTGATTAGGGATTGGCATAGCTCGGGTTGGGTCAGATTTTTGGTCCACCCGACCCGACCCGAGAACAAGGAATCCTCCATCCGAGATCCTACCTGACCCGACCAAAACAAGATTTCACCCGACCTGAACCCAACCCGATATATAACTTAAAAACCCAATCTGACCCAACCTGAAATAATAATAAAAATATTATTTTTATTCAATAAAAAATGACTTAATTGAAAAAAATAATATATAGTAGGGTATTATTATAATTATTCCTAAATATATATGGTAAAATTATATATTTTTTTGGGTCGGATATTTTCATCCTAAACCCGACCCAAACCCCTTTTTTAAATAAAAAACTTGACCCGATCGGGTCGGAACCCGTTTGGTTCGGGTCCCATGCCCATCCCTATTTGTGATGGGTTTGAAATTAAGGTTAGTATAGTGTAGTTTTTTTGAAAAGTGATCTTTAAAAGTGTTGTAATCACCTATTTAAATTATAAACATTATATCGTAATTAAAAATATAACATTTAAATTATATCTACACTTATTAATACTATGATATATAAAATATATCAACTTTGCATGAACCAATTTATTTCAGTGGTTAAATGAATCGTTGTTGTTCCTAGAGGTCATGGGTTCGAGCACCAGCAGCTATAACATGTTGATTGGGCATTCATTGTCAAATGATTGAGAGTATTTAGAACATATATTACTTTGTAATCACCTAAACTTAACAAAAATATGAAATAAATAAAATATATTAACTTAAACGATAAAAAATTCAAAATAACTCATTAATAATATTTTTATATTAAATATTTTATTAAAAAAATACATTATCAATACTTTTTAACATGTGGACATAAAATTATTATGAAATAATAATTTAAATACTTGTTTTGACAAAAAGAATATTATAAAAACATTAGTAATTAAAATAAAATTTTAAGTAATAAATTATTTTTTAAGGATGTTAATATTAAATTATCAAAATAAAATATAAATATATAATTGAGTGAAGTCCGTGTATTAGTAAGGGTAAAATTATAATTTGGTCACAATCACAAAGTTGAAACTAAAAAAAAAGCTAGAAATCCTAACTTTTCGGTTGGTTTTAAACCATCATTTTTATCATATTTTTTTTATTTTATTTTTTATCCATTTGACATTAATTTTACAAAAAGAATTTTAGAAAGTCACGATTAAGT